CTCTATATTTTTCTGTGTGTGTATATATATATATATATATATATATATATATATATATATACAGAAAATTATAAAATGTATTAAACAAACAAGCTGAGCTGGAACATTTGTGCCCTTGGTGTGAGAACACTTGCTTAACCTTTAAGGGTTTTCACTGTAATGTGTGCTTCACAACAATTCCTCCAATTCTTCCTAAAATGCAGCCGGGGATAATTCTCTGACTGGCAGCCTCATTCAGATTGCCCTAGGATTTTATAGACCAGGTAGCTCCCCACAATCCCTTACCGCAGAGTGGAAAAGGAGATGGAATTTCTTTCCTAGTTTCTCCCCTCATGTGTTCCTCAACTTAAACAAATGGGTTGTCTGTATTGGATTATTTTAACCGCATATTCATTTTAATATTCTATGTATCAGAGGATAGGACTTTCAAATGACCAGTATTCCATTTATCTTGGAGGAGAGGAGAAGGGAATCTCTTTAATCTGGGAATAGGATCTACCTGCACACACAACCCATTATTAAGGGGTAGGGAGAGTGGGGTGATTGGTCATCTTTGGGGCCCTGTCCTGTTAGCCACAATGAGAGTTCAGAGCCCCAAGCACCTTACAGGACCTTTAGAGAACTCCAGAATAGGCCGTGTACATTAGCCACAAGTCGATATAATTGAGGTTCTAATAAAAATCCTTTAACCCTTAAACTTCAGGCCTCCGCTTGGCTGCTATGTCATAAATAGCTTTAGCAACAGGCAAAATAGTGGCTCATGGTATCTCAATAGAACCATCAATTCAGAAATCCTACAGCCTTTCTTTTCAAAAGAGCAGTATGGCAGGAAGCAAATGTGGCTGCTTATATATATATATCTGTGTATTTTACATTTTCCATGTTTGTTCCACAGTAATTATCTTACTAATCAATCCATTTTGAACAGGGTCTCTGTTTTAATAATGCCTCATGTGTAACTGTGTGTGTGCATGCGCGCGCACGCCTGCAATTTCAGCAGTTACAATTTATTGAACTCTTGTTAAAATTTATCTTAAAATATTTACCTCATAGCAAAAAAATTAAATTTGGATCCCACAATACTCTTACTTGGTATTGCTTTTTGGAAAATATTCTCTCTTTAAACTATTATAATTCATTTTGTTTCATATTTATCTCAATAAGCCTAAACAAATTTCAAACAAAAATACATTAGTCATCTGTCAGGCATATGAGAGCTGTGGTAGGATTTTCTGCAAAGTTAAAGCAATGGTATACTTTGTCCATAAAAAGAGAATATGCATTAGATGTATGGTGGCCTTCCTTTCATATTTGAGCAAAACATTATTTTAAATAATTGGATTGCAAGTTCCTTTAAGTTTAGTCTTGTGGTACTGAAAGAATTCCAGTCAATTTTCATACTTCAATATTCCACTGTTAGATATTCGTGACAAACAACTGGATTTTATATAGGTTTTGGGGTGAAGAGCATTGGAGAAAGGGGAGATCAAATGTGGTTTTTATCTGTTGTACAGAAACATTGATAATTTTTTCAAAACCCTAATAAATATGCTGGTCCTTTTAAAATGTATGTATTTCTTTGCCTAACCATGCATTTTGAATGCCTCAAACAAAAGTATCTAATGTTTTTAATTTTCATTTCAGGCTCTTATAACTGTATATAAGAGGAAACATCCATAAGGAGTTTCATACAAACTCTATTGCATTTATATCAGACTAAAGGTTAATATTGCATATTGTTTTCAATTAGGACTACGATAGATTTGGCTGGTGGGTAGGAGAAATGAAGGGAACCATTGGCTTGGTGCCTAGAGCCTACATAATAGAGATGTATGATATTTGAGAGGCCTGGGTAAGTACATTTTAATCCAATCTTCTGTAATGGTTTATATGTTCCCTTGTTCTCTGTTTCATAAGTATTTCTTTCCTGAAACCTTTGCTGGAGTTCTGTTGACAAATATATTTTGCCACAATCTTTATATTAAAGTTCAATTAAAGAAGCTCTGCTGGGTTTGTATATGAAATAAAAAATAACTATTGTGTTCAGAGTAAGATGTATTCCATAACTAGCTTCCTTTTCTTTGTCCTTTCATAGAATCAAGTTTGCAAGCTTTTTAGTTAGGTTGGTTGCTTAATAGTGTGTGTGTGTGTGTGTATGTGTGTGTGTGTGTGCAGTTAGAAATATATGGAAACTATAGATATTTGGGGTTTGTTGGCTTTTTGGCTAACCGTGTACTATAAATGTCATTCTTCCTAATCAGGAGAATTCTGCAATTACAATCAAGAGTGATGTACAACTGCACCTTCCAGACCTGGTTTCCAAAATGCAAAGATTCTGCTGTGTGAACTTGGTTGTTTGATGGGTGTAGTCAGACCACCACACCAAATATATTAAACATAAAACATTTTTTAATTTTTCTGCATTTCTGTACTAGTTTATCATTAATCTTTTTGGGGAAAATGCTCTGTTCAATCCTTTGTTATATAACTAAAGTACTGTGACACTCAACAGAAGATGTTAGTTAACATGTGATGCACAAGCAGCAAAGCTGTACCTGTTGCTATTTTGCTGAAACATTAAGTGCACTTTGTAGTAATAGATATGTTCTGTTTAAATGGAATCAGATAACTTTTTTCTATGTAAATTTTAAAAATTTAGCAACACCTTGACAGTGGCAAATCATCATTCTCCTCATGTGGATTTTAGTAGCATTAGCCTTTTGATAAATTCACTTCAATGGGACTGCAATGTATAATTCCATAGAAAAACTAGGTAAATTCCTGTGCAATAATGCAAGTTTTAAAACTAACATGCTTCTAAAGAAACGTTTTACATTTCTGCATGATTTATTTCTTCATATAATTTTAGTATTTTTATGTAGAATAAGATGTTATAGTCACAAAATAATATATAAGACCAGATCCTCAATTCTTGTACATAAGCTCCATTAAAGTCAGTAGAACTCATTGATTTACACCATGTTATCTTTATTGGCAGACTTGCATCATGAGAAATGTGGTCATGAGAATAAAACATATAGAATTGAAAATTATTATATTCTGGGTTGACAATACATGTTGTATTTAAAAAAAAACATTTGTGGATGATTCTTTGTCAGTGAAAAAGTCTATATACCTGTTGTGATATTGTTGAAGTATGGATGTTGTCATTAGGTCAATTCTGCAAACCTTACTCATGTAAATGATCCTTGCTTGCATAAGTAGTGCCACAGAAGTCTATGCAACAGCTTATGTGAATGCAGGTTATTTGCAGTCTTGACAGTATCAAATCCAGAATCTGAAGTTATTCAGTTAAAACACACACACACCGAGCAAACATTTCATTTATACACACAAAAGCACGACAATTCAGAGTCAATACTTAAAATCCCCTTGTTCTACTTAAGTGTTGTGTATTCTAGTATGTAAGATCACCAACTATCTAGAGTCTCCAGCACTGCTGGAAACAACCAGGGATAGCCTTGTGATTTGTGAGGCCTCAAGCTGCCAAAAAGGCAGGTCAAGCCAGTCTGCGAGTTGCTGAGCCTATGCAGGTCCTCAGTGAGCTGTTTATGCTTCAGGCTAGCCCTGAAAACAGAATGAGTTAAAAGGTAGCTTTTGTCTGTGTGTGCTTTAGACCACTAACATTATTTTATTTTACCCTTTGTTACACAAGACTACTAGTAGGAGTAAAATCGGGTGAGGTTTTATGGTTATTTTATAAACATATATTTTTGAGAAATGGGCGTCCAAACCAGGTAATCTGTGAAGCATGAAAACGATAGATAGTAAATTTAGAACTTTATTTTCTCAGGTATACTTCTGGATTGTATTTAGAATGTGAACTGTCAATATCGCAAGAGCTTTTTCTCATTAACATGAAAAGTCTTCCTATTACACATTTCAGAAATTCACCACAACTGCTTTTCTTTTTGTAACAACTCTCTTCTGTCAAATACACAGTATACACACTAGTCACCTGTAAAATTGAATTAACAAAAGGAAAATCATCTGAGTTGTACTAAATTTGATTTTTTTTAAAGATACTTTATATGCCAAGATTAAACCCACAGCAGATTTTTACAGCTGAGTTAAACCCCCTGAAATGAGTGGTCTTGTGCTGACAAACCCTGAACTACAGCAGCGCTAGTGGGCACCACTGTTCTATTTTGGTATAGAAGAGAAGATTTTGCAATGGTTTGTCAGTAGATGGCAGCAGATTTTCGTAGCATGTTGAACTGGTTGGAAACCCTTCCCCCCACCAACGTGTGTCTTATGCACAGGCACATCATTTGCAACTTAAAACATTTGGAGGGCTCCTTTCTCTTTTCCTGTTAATCCAGGAGAGGGAGTCCTTAGCTAACTGATGAATAAAAAGCTCTTTGAGCTGCTTTTCCTGGTGCTGGTGGCACAAATAGAAATAAAGCATCTTTTGTCCGCAGTTCCTAAGTCCTTTGTTTTTTCTCACTTAGTACAATGTGAGAGGTTAGCAAACAAACTACATAAATATTCAAAAACTAGGATATTTTGAAACAGAGACCCATAACTCTGACCCAAAACCCTGACCTGAAATTTCTTGGACTAAACCAACAATGTAAAACAGAAAAAAATGTTTACTTTAAATCTTTGCAAATACCATAACCTTTTTTGGATGAGAAAGTTCCCATTAATAGAACTTATACAAAATTGGGTGTTAGAAAATATGCTTAATTGCTTTGTTTTTGTTGTTTACTTGGATTTCGTTTGCCTTTCTGTGAAGAGTAAGACAGCTAATTTTTTTCCAAAGGTGATTGTAAGTCATATTTTATACAGCATTTTTATTTGATTATTTGCTCTGTACTGAATTTGTACTATATTGCCATTAGATCTTACAATAATGTTCCACTCTGCAAATTTTTAAGGTTCAAATAAAGTTTAATTGTTTGCAAACTGTTATGATGCTAATAATTCAACAGCCTGCTGTGTTACTAATGAAATTACTTTGTTATGATTAATTTGGAAAATAGTGTGTTGATTGTAGTAATTAAGCACAACAAGGTGAAGTAAATGATTCTAATGCCATCTGGCCTCCAAACTGAATGAAGAAATGAAATGGGGCTGTCATCTGAATTTATTCAGAGAAATAAGGATAATACAAATGTCTTTTATTGCTGTAGCACCCGGCCATAACTGTACCACCTCTAGTATGACTTCATGTACTTCTGTGTACATAATTCTTTCACTTTGCATTACTTGCTTCAGGCTCACATATTTTACTTGCATGTAGGTGGGATTTACTTCCTTTACCACTAAGTACATATACAGTGCATGCTCCTGAAATGTCAACTACTTCAATCAAAGTTTAAGGGTGAGATTTATAAAAGTGCTCAGTATTGGCCTTAAAGTCAATTATAAAACTTCTGTTGACTTTAAGGGAACCAGAGTTAGGCCAAACCTGAACACTTAATGAAAGAAAATCCCACCCTACGTGTTCAAAGCCAAATGCATAATCTATATTCAGTTTTGCTCTGCAACCTATACATAACACCCATATTATAGTAGCTCCATCTAGATTGTATTTCCATTAGGAGAGGTATAAAGTTTAACTCCCTTATGACATGATCCAAAACCCATTGAAGTCAATGGAAAGACTCCTATTGAATTCAGTGGCTTTTGGATCAGGCCCTTAAAACACCAAGTCAAAAGGGAAAAAAAAGCCATATCATTTTCAAAATGTCCTCTGCTGAATTTGCTGCCAGTCAGGCTTCTGTCTTAGGGAGGTGCTGTTGTTTCTATAAGCTCTGTTTTTCCTTTGACTAAATAATCAGAGACACACAGGATCCTACATAGCCAAGACATAGAAACTCAATTTTGTTCCATAAGCAAAGGGACTGAAGAAGAAACCAATGGGGATCGGGAGCCTGATCTCTACCAAGTTAACCAGGTCCTGCAGCTGAGCTATATCAGAGTTCATACACAAGAAAAGATATCCAAGTGCATGATGGTTGAACACCACTAAGCTACACGGACAACTGGAAAAGCCACTCAGACATTTTTCCTCCAGCTGGTTGTAGGGACACTGCAAGAACTCCAGTTATAAAAGGGGAAAGGAGTAACAGTCCGTTAGGCATGGATTAGAACATACAGAATGGTTATAAAATTAAGTGTTTATTAGATTTTACCCTCTTCCCATTTTTAGGTTGGAATAGTTTCTTAAGTTAAAGGAGCCATTCAGAGCATGTAAAGTTGTGACAGAGCATGATGATATAGGAAAGTCTTCTAGAAATACGTTTTTTGTAACTCACTGTATTATGTGTGATATGTAGTATGGGATAGCAGGATACAAATGACAATTGGAACACATCTTTAAGACATTCATTTGTCGTGGTTTGTAAAGTCAGTGTTCCTCAAAGACCTGATTCATTCAGGCAACCACATGTGCATGTGTTTAGGTCCCTCCCTCTTTAGCAAAATATGTCGGCAAGTTGGTTTGGAGCTAAGAATGCTCAGCCACAGCTTCAGCACCCATTTTAGAGCTATTTTCTGCATCCTCCTCCTCCTCGGGCTGAATCCCACACTAACATGCTTCAGAGTGTGGGCTAGCTCATCAGTTTGTAATCCAGGGGCAGCGCTTTGCTGCACTTCCCCTGGGTCAAGCTTGTGAGGTGGGAGTCTCTCTAATTCTGTGGGCATGAGTAAACAGCAGCAAGCTGCTGCCAGGCATAGCAATGGTGGTAGCAGCAGGGGAAAGGGGTGAGTCAGGGCCCTGCCCACTCTCTTCCCATCTGTGTGTAGGGGAGGGATGTAGCAGCTATGCAGATTCTGCTTCCCCCTGCTCACAGGAACCAGTGGTTTTGTGCAAGGGGGAGGTGGGGGAGGAGAGAAGGCACTTTAAGCCTCTTCTACTCTCTTGCCCTGACATGCAGAACTATGTGCCCCTGAATGATTAACTAAAACTATAAAAAGACTTTATTTAGAGAGCTTATTTTAACAGGATCTAGTGGATTAGACACTGTTTCTGCAGCCAGAGGTCCTCTTCCTAATCAAACAGCTGTGAAGAGAGTCCACAGAAAATGCCAGGACTCTGGTCCAACAGTAGGCAGAGGAAGAACCTCAGTCGCTGAGAGATATAAACCAGATGGAAAACACTGGTGCATTCTGAAATGTGAGATGTCATCTTCCTTTATTAAAAAGTTAGCACTGATCCCAGCCTTTTGGGAAGAGAAAGTTTCACAATAAAGGAAGATTTAACGCTCAAGAAGGTGGCATCTGTCTTCGGTGGCTCTGAGTGGAGAGAACCAAGTACAACAAGGCAGAGTCTGAAAATGAGCAACTTGTAGATGAAGAGCCAGATAGTTTCAAATGCTACTCACAGTTAATCTGTTCTTCATTTTCTGCTTTTAACTAATTCTTGTACTGGTTCTTTGCTCCCAGAGTGTCCTGAAGTGCTTGACAGACTGTAACATGAGGCTCCTTCCCCCACCATTGAAAAGCAACCACTGAGTGGCATCTGATAGGCAATGAACAATTTTACAGCAATAGTATACAGGTCAGGCCAGAAGATGAAAAAGAATTCCATATTCAATTGCAGTGGAGGTGAGGATTTATGTCGATAGAATAAAATTACCACTATGGCCAAATACAGCTCATATAAACGCTCCCGCTCTTGTGAAAGTGACATGAGAATTTTAGTAGCCACAAATAATAGGATCTTAGTTTTACAACTCATATTGCAAGACAGCACCTCCAGCAGTGCAATACCCATCCATTTCTAGGACTCTTTGGGATAGAAGAAAAACTATTGCACGGAATCACCAGCAGTCTTCCAGCAGTGACTAGGTGTTTTTTGGCAGTCTCCCATCCAAGAATTGACATGGCCTAATGCTGCGTTGTAGTGAGATCTGATGGGGGGTCATACTGAAAAAGGCAGAGAGCAGACAGCCTGTGAGGCACAGGCTACTGAGTTGTTCACTGGCAGTCTTGCAATTCCGAGACCTAATTCTAAATGGGTGGGAAAAGATGGCTGCAACACATAGAAGTGTGTGATATAAGGGAAGCTGGGGCGCCTTCTTCCTTTCTGTGGCCCTTTCCCAAGAGAATTCTAGGCATCTTGTTGGATTTAGAGATGACCAAGCAGAGTGGGGATGAGGGGTGGGGAGTTTCACTAAAACAGTGCCCCTCCACCCAGAAGCTGCTTTGTTTTAATTACTCCTTATCTCTTAAAGGCCGGTAGGTGCATGTGTATATGCACGCTCACACACACTATTCTAGATATCTTTAATGTAGAAGAGGAAACAATTCCTAGGTATTCTTTTATTCTCTTCATCTCCAGTTTCTCAAGCCTTCATTTAGTTTACTACACTGCGGCTCGGGGCCTACTTTTCTAAGGAGCGTATCCCTTTTGGTGCTTCATGTTATGAAGCTACAACTGAGACCATCTCCCAGCTATTTTGTGCATCAACTTCATTTCACGCCTGTCCTGTGCAAATATTAGGACCCCATTTTAAGAATTTCAAAAACACTTTTTTTTTACTATTTTAAAGATAATTTTAGTGTTGTTTTTTAAGGTGCCAGAAGTGCCTAAATGGAGATTGTATATGTTTGTTTACATAATGTCCGCAACCCCTCCACACACACACTACCCACACAGAGCCAATGTCTGTCTACCTGTTCTAGGAGGAGACCACCATCTTGGGAGCAAGTAGATAATTAGCCTCTGTCTATTCGGTCCTTTGTGCTTCTGAGGTTGGCACTTGTTGGGTGGTGGGTCTTTTTGTGATGTGGACATTTGCCCACTTACTGGACTGAGACAGCCCATTCACTTTAGAATAGCTGATATCCATCTGATGACAACTCTGCGTCATTATTGACATGTGCCTCCCATATGAAAGGCCTTGTATCCTCTTGCCTGTCCAATGATTTTTCTAGCATCTAGCATCTACCTCTAGGAACTATGAGTGGAGGCACCCAAGTAAAACAATGCAGGGAGCCTGAAAACAAGAACTACTTGTAGATGAAGAGGCAGATAGTTTGTGTCACATTTGAAATAATCTTTTCTTCATCACTTCTAGTGCCACTTCAAATGCAGTGTTCAGTGAATGAGCTATTTTATCTCATGGGTTTTGCTAATTGTTGACTGGTTCTTTTCCCTGCTACCCAGAATGCACAGGTTTGCAGATAGACCCTTGAGATGAAGAAGTATGTTGTTTATTTGCTGCATCAGTGAGCGATCAGTCCACCGAAACAGGGCATAGTACAGGGTTAAATGCAAGCTCACACCCACATTCAGGTGTTTGCCTTAAACATCTTGTTATTATAGATTGTATAAACACTTTTCCTGTTTTGCTAACTCAGTTGTTTATCTGATTGGACTGCTGACCAAACTGTTTACCTGATCAGGTTGCTGACCACACTTTTTACCTGGCTGTTCTCTTTCCTTGACTGACCAGCAGACCTCTTTTCACATGTCCCAACACTTAAAATATGCATTCTACATATCACATCCTACACTAACATTTAATGGGGTGAGAGTCACCATCCACAGTAATATCTGTTAATAAAAATGCTATACTTTATAATAAGTTTTGTTATCACAGAGACAAGCTGGGTGAGGTTATCATTTGTATTAGGCCACCTTCTGTGGGTGAATGAGACAAGCTTTTGAGCTCTACATTTCTAAAAGATGCCCCCTCACCTCAATACCTGGGCATAAATTTTACAGCTCTTTATGGAAGACTCTCTTTCTCTCTTACCGTCCTCTTCCCAAGACATTTTGAAGGGTCAGATTGCAAGGGGAGTCAGGTCCTATCTGTCGGTCTGTTAAGAAAACACCTTCCTGAAGGTCTGAACCTTTCAGTGTGTTCTGAAGGTGGAATGATTCAGGCTGAACCTAAGTTCTGGTGGAAGCAAGTTGGCCCTCTGCTGCGAATATGCTACTGCCAACCCCTGCA